TATTTAATTTAAACTTTTATAACTACATGATGTAATAGTACTTTTTCAGCCTTCTTAAAATAATTATCAACTTGTTATTGTTAGTAAATAGAAATAACTTATTCACCTTAACTTTGTATTATAAATGTTTAATCAATTATAAAATATAATCTCTTTGACCGTTGATTAATTTCAATTTATAAGAAAATTATCGACTCTTCATTTTGTTTAATAAAATAAAAAAATTATATTAACTTATTTTCAGATGAACAAGATATTAATTTATTGTTTTTTAATTCAAGCTTAAACTTAAAACTCTATTTTTATGACAATTAAATGTTTAAAAGCATTTCCAATCATTTTTTTTCCAAAATTTAGTTTAATTATCATCTCCTGAGGATACTATTAAATCTTCATTTATATTAATAATCTAACAAAAAATTGTATCAAGATGTCCTTCTATAATTTATTTATCCTACCATACATTTTTATTATTCATTGTCCAAATTATAATTTCTTATCCTCAACACAAGAAACAAATTGAGTAGATTTTTTCATAAAAACTAAGCAATTTACAAAACCACTACTATGTTAATTATAACTTTTCTTAATTGAATTGATAAACATTAATTTTACTGCTTCTTTATTAAAATCATCACATAACACTGTTCCTCTTTTATAGAGCAATCATTCAATAAATCATATTTGAATTTGGCTATGCTTTGATAATTAAGTTGGTTTAGTTGCAAGTCTTCAATTAAGTTATTTAAATTAAGAATATAATTTTTGGTATTCTCTTCTCTAACCTTTAATATGAAAGGAACTCTTCTTAAAATAAATATTAAATATTAAGAGGAGGAAGAAGATATCAAAATTTATTCTGATTTTTTTATTAATAGTATTACTATGATGTAAGAAACAGAAATCTGTAATAGCTTTTATTTTAAGGATAAATAAAGGTTGTACATTTAAAATGCTCTATTTTAATACACTACTAAAAAAGACAGTAAATTTATTGATTAAATTTTAAATTTTATTGTTGTTAAGAAATGATCAAATTCATTCTCAGATTTTAAAATTGATTAATACTTAATAAAATTACAGAATTTTTTGTTACAATATATAATATCTTATCCTTATTATTTTTGATAATAAAATATGAATGTTGAATAAGTTCTATTCTCGAAACAACTAGTGGTAATGGATATTAGGTGAGTGAGTGGTAAGAAAAGTTTTGGGAAGCTATTATAAAATTTATGAAAAAGGGAGAATCAAATTAACATAAAAAGGAGCTCGATTGAATTTATATTTTATTGATTAAGATACATAAGAAGTTCTCGGCTTTGTAGAATTACCTTGATAATCCATATTAAGCGATAAATAAACATAGGATAGTAAAAGGTATTGAATATCAATATATATATATTAAAGGATAAGCAATAAGATTAGTATCTCCAATAGGAGATTATTAATTGGTTGGATGTCTATTTTGTGATAGAATAGATGATTTTGGTTTTGATGAGAATATTCTCAGATACATTTAAAATAGGGAAATGGAAAGCAATCCAAAGAAATTTAAAGATGATATGGAACCTCAATACAATTTTATTTTAAAGGAAGAATAGAAAACCGAGCCAACTTTTATGGAAGGAAATCAATAAAAGGAATAAAATTAGTAGCAAGGAACTACAAATGCATCTGAATTTAAACGTGTACTTTTCCTTTTGATAATGATGATTTTGGATTATTTACAACATCTACTTTATAAGCCTATTCTGTTTAGGGTAGTTTGTTTGAAGAAGATTATATCTCTTGCAATAAACCAAGTGGATAAGACTAGAGTAAATATTAATAAGCTGGTCCTATTGAATAATAATAACAAAAACAATAAAATTAAGAATAAGCTAATTCACAAGATTAGATCTCATCATAAGAATTTGAATTTAATCATCATAATAATAAAAGTAAGTGAGATAAAAGAAATGCATTTATTGGAATTATGAACGCACATAATTAAACATACTGTTATTGCATCGCTCTATAATTTCCATTTCCTAACCAACTTCAGTTATTTTTATTTTTCAATATCAAACTAATATTTTCTAAATGAATTCAAAAATACGTGTATTATTTAAATGGGAAATTATAAGGGATTTGCATTTAGTATGTTATATATATTATTTTAATTTTCTTTTATAATAAGCTTCATCCTTAGTAATGGCAACAACATTACTTCCCGATCTAGAAAAAATGCAGATATAATGATATTTAAATGTGTATTTTTACAAATGATTTTACTTTACTATTGATAATAAAATAATAGATAAATGCTAAGATATTAGAATGACTATCTTCTGTTATGTTAGACAAAAATTATCAAAATAAATATAGTTTTAAATTTTAAATATCTACCACTCAAAATATATTTCATGTCATTAATTCTTTATTTTCATTTCGATTAAATATAGTTCAGTCTATTATTATAGATTCTCTATTTAATTAAAATATAATTTAAAAATTACATGATATTTACTCATTGTTATTAAATATTATGATTATTAATGTATTAATTAAAGTTTGTTAATTTCTTCAAAAACACAAAACACTTCTGAGTCAACTTTGAAAGATGATATCAAGTTTATGTAGATAATATTGAAAAGCATAATTAATAATATTATCACGCTGAGATATTAATTGATGATGTTTTAGTTTAGTAAATCATTAATATTATTTTATTGAAGTTAATTTAATTTATTTTTATTTGTTACTTATAATTATAATTATTTTATCACAAATTAGATCAATATTCAATAATATCGACATAAAAAAAACTCGATTACTTTAACAATTAGAACTTATCCTAGTTCTTATTTAGAATCCAATTTTGAAGCTTATGTTGGAATTAGAGATTTTTAATTACTTATTCAAAAAGATGATAATTGTTCTGATGGAAACATCTATCCATTTGATGGATGCTTTGCTAAGATTTACGATTGTGTTGAAGATTGTGCAAATTGTATAAGAGGTTTATGTTTGAAATGTTAGCAAGGATGGCAATATTATGAAAAAAATAAGAATTGTTTACCAATATGTGATGATTCAATAATTACTTATTTTGAAGAAAGTGATGATAGTAACACATATCAATATGATGGGTGTTATTAATATAAATATTCTTGTCCATTGATGTATGCAAATTTGGAAAATGTAAAAAATTTTAACCAAGTTACTAATTAAAATTCGGACTGTGTAAATATATATGTGATGGTTCTGAAGGTTAGGAAGATTAAGAAAATAGAAGTTGTTATAATAGTATTAATAATTTGATTGAGAATGGTTTTTATTATTAAATTGATTATTAATCAAAAATAATTAACAAATTTAACTCAATATCCAAAATTCATAATACTTTAGATTAGATATTTATGATCTACTATAACATAATCTATTTAATAACTTAAATTCTAAATATAAATTGATAAGTAGTCTAACATGTAGTTGATAAGGTTTTGGAATATTTGGATATTTTTATTATTTATGTAGAATACCAGCAATACAAAATTGTAAAAAAAGTCTATTAGTAAATGTTTAGAATGTGAGAAATTTTATGAATTTAAAATTAATAAATTCATATGTATTCCCATATGTAATGATGGAGTTATAATAAAATAAGAACTATGTGATGATTAGAACAATACATATTTTGATGGATGCTATAAATGCTAATAAAGTTGTTAATTAGAATGCTTAAATTTTATTGTATTGGAAATGAATGTTATGAGTGTCCTGATGGTTGGCAACTCTTTGATTATCGTTGCTATCAATATTGTTGAGATGGGAAAGTAGCTCAATAGATGGAGCAATGTGAAACCGATATGTGGAGATGAACATATTGTAATTGGATTGGAAGAATGTGAAGATCGAAATAACATTCCTTACGATGGTTGTTTTAATTGCATGTTTTTGTGTGAAAATGAATTTTAAACCTGTATTTAAGGATTTTGTGTAGAATGCATTGAAGGATATATGATTCTCAAAGATTATTGCAATGTTAATAATTAAACTCATATTATTGAAGATGAAGAAGATTTAAAAATAGTGTAAAACAAATGTGGAGATGCTATTTATACTAAAAATGAAGAATGTGATGGAAATGAATTTAATGGTGATGGTTGTTCAAGTGTATGTTAGATTGAACCAAATTGGTTTTGTAATAACTCACTAAATAAACCAAGTGTTTGTACGCCTAATACTTTTTTAAAATTGGAATATCTAAATCAAACTTAATAAACTCAATACATTTAATTATCATTTACTAATAAAGTTAAAGAAAATGAAACTAATAGCAATTTTACTAATTCAATTAAATCTTCTATTCCCTCTATTTAAGAAGAAATATATACCATTACTATAATTCCTGTATGCTTCATTTACAATATTTATTATAGTTACAATTGATTAGACCGACTTACTTGATTTTATATATGTTTTTTAAATTCAAATATTGGAATTGAATACAACAAAAATTTATTTAGCAGTAGAGATTAATGCTAATTTATAAGATCAAAATGAATAGAAGATTAATACGACTCTTTAAACTATCAAATTATAAATAACTACATTCTTGGAAAAAAATTAATTGCAAACTGCTAATAGCTTTTAATCTTTGGGTAATTGGATGATGATAGGATTAGCTAGCAGTAGTTTTTTTTTGTTTTTATTCGGATATCTTAGTTAATGTCTGGAAATTTTAGATACTTAATAATTCTAATCATATCTGAATTTATAAATGTTGAATTTCCATAAAATATTTAAATATATTTTGAATCATCAGAGTTTGTAACTATTAATCAGATGTTGATTAAATTAAAAGTAAATTATTTTTTTAAGAATTAATTGGATAT